AATAGTTGCTTTCGGGAAGGGGGTTGCTGTTATAAAAATCTAATTTTGAGTCTTTCCTTTTCTGGCCATCACTGCAGCACTAGCAGAAATGAAGCTCAATTCCTTTGTGACTTTTGACCCAAGCAGGAACCTCAAAGCACATTTCAGTGCACCTTCCTACATTCTAACAAGATTATGTCTTTTCTCAATTCATGCCTACCTGCAAGGATGAGGAAGCTCAGGTCTGAGGACACTATATATAGGGCAGCAAATTGATAAAATAGTTCAGGTTTCTAGGAAGTGATGTTACCTACACTAAAGAGTGCAGACAGGAGAAAGTGACCGGTGCAGCTGCCTGTCCATGTGCACATTCATTCCAGCAAGGTGACTATCACTACACTAAAACTAGACAAAGACCACAAAAAGATCCTTGAAAGCAAAGCTATGTTTAGTAGGAAAGGGAAAAGGTAAATAAAATGAAGAAACAATTGAGAAGATGGAGAAATAAAATAGTCTTACATACATTTAAAACTTTTAAAACATAAGACATTTAAAACATAAAAAACATTTAAAACATACATACATTTAAAACTGCTGAAATGCAAAGAATTTAAAAACCAATTTTATAAAATCAACTTCTTATGCCTTTGTCATAAAAGCTAAATTTAAAAATATTTAAAGTAGATATGAGTGTTATCTATGAATAGGAAGAAAGTGAACCCAGAATAAATAAGCATACTGAAAAAGTAGTGGTGGCACATAGGAGTTAAGTCATAGATCAAATCATAGTAAATGCCTTTCATCTTAATTGTATCGACATCTGATTGAATAAACTGATACTTTAAAAAAACAGACTTTTATTTTAGTGTGAAGTTCAGGTTCACTATTATGAAGTACTCTCTATTTTGGCTTTTGTTATGTACTATGAAAGCATTTAAAATAAGAATGTCTTAAGTGTCTGGGTTTTTTAGTTTGCTTTACTTATTTATAGTTTATGTACATGGTATTAATTTGGTGTTGTGGTTGAAAGGTTTAATATTAAGTCATAGCTCTAATTATTCTGTTTCTTTAAATCTGTAATTTTTTTTTTTAAGATTTATTTATTTATTCATACAGAACTGGGGTACAGGCCAGAGGCTCAGGGGCGGTGAGAGGCTTCACCAGAGACAAAGTGGGGAGCAGAACAGGCAGATCGATAAAGTACACTGCTGAGGGAAGCAGCGGGCGGGCCAGGAGAGGTCTGGCTCGCCATGTGGTCTCCTCTGGGGCAGGCGGGAATCGAACTCATGCGGAAGTGGCTTCAGATTCTCAGTGCTGTGCTTTAACCCGCTGCGCCACCAGGGAGGGCCTAAATCTGTAATTTTTTTTCTTAAAGCATGAGGTTCTAAAGTTAATGCATACAAACAAGAAACAAAAAAATGAAGAAAATAACTACATTTATAATTGCTTCAAAAAAAGTAAATATTTTGAAATCAACCTATACAATGAGAACTATAAAATGTTATTAAAGAATTTAGATAGTAACATAAAACTGATGGAAGGCAATCCCACGTTTATAGATGGGGACAGTCAGTATGGTCATAATGACTATCGTGCCTAAAATGATATGCAAGTTTCATGAAGTTGCCATCAAAATACCAGCAATATATATGTATTTTAAGATTTATTTATTTATGCATACAGAACTGGGGTACAGGCCAGAGGTGCAGGGGTGGTGAAAGGATTTACCAGAGAGAAAGTGGGGAGCAGAACAGGCAGATCAATGAAGCACACTGCTGAGGGGAGCAGCTGGTAGGTCAGGAGAGGTCTTCCACACCATGTGGTCACCTCCCAGGGATTGAACTCTTGCTGAAGAAGCTTTAGCTTCTTAGTGCTGTGCTTTAACCTACTGCACCACCAGGGAGGGCCAGACTGCACTTTGAAAAATACCACAGTATTTCAACTTCAAGTATTTGGACTCTTCTAGCTTTATTTCTGTTCCCTCTTTGTCCCAAAGACCTGTTGTTTCTCCTGTCCAGTATGAAACTTTAACCTCGTCTAGCCAGTGAACTCTTACTTATCCTGCAAAGCACTCCTCAGCAGTGTCTTCCTTAACCCACTGGATTTTGTCGGGTCCTTCCAGGTACATTGCTGAGGGGAGCAGAGGGCCGGTCAGGAGAGGTCTGCTGTGCCATGTGTTCATCTCTAGGGCTGGGGATAGAACTCCCCTGCTGTGGCTCGCTTGCACTGCTACGCTTAAACCCATTGCGCCATCAGGGAAGGCCCAACCAGCAGTATTTTTCAAAGAAACTGAATTAAAAAATTTTGAAATTTATATAGAGCTACGGAAGATATAAAAACCTTAAGGGGAAAAAAATAAAGTAGAGGAATGGCATTACCTGACTTCAAACTTGATTATAAAGCAGCAATATTAAAACCAATATGGTATTGGCACAAAAATGGATATGCGTACCAATGAAATAGAATTGAAAGTCCAGAAATAAATCCACTTACACACCAGGACTTATTCTGTAAAGCATCCAAGAACATACAGTGGGGAAAAGACAGTCTCTTTAATAAGTAATGCTGGGAAATTTGGAAAGCCACACATAAAAGAATTAAGTTGGATTACTCACTAACACCACATATAAAATTAAACTCCAGGACCCTCCCTGGTGGCATAACTGGTTAAAGCACAGCACTACAAGCAAGCTGCAGACGCTTCAGTGGGAGTTCAATCCCCAGCCCCGGAGGTGATCCACATGGTAGGCAGACTTCTCCTGACCTTCCCAGCTGTTCTCCTCAGCAGTGTACTTCATCATTCTTCCATTCTGTCTCTAGTGAATCCCCACACTGCCCTTGCATCTCTAGCCTGCACCTCAGTTTTTTATGCATAAATAAATAAAGCTTTAAAAAAAAAAAACTCCAAATGGATGGAAATTTAGATCTAAGACCTACAACAATAAAATACATAAAAGAAAGCATTGGGAAAAAAAAGAAAACATTGGGGATACATTTGCTGATACTAACCATAAAGATATTTTTGGTGACTCATCCTCTATAGCAAGAGAATTTAAAACTGGAACAAACAATTGGAATTACTTCAAGTTAAAAAGCTCCTATACAGTGAAAGAAAATATAAGATAACTAAACAGACACCTTACTGAGTGGAAGAAAATATCCAGAAAATATTAAAAACTCATATAATTCAACAATTAAAAAATAGGTAACTGTAACAGATGGGCAGCAGATATGAAAAGAAGGCTCACTATAGAGAATATACACAACATGAAAATGTGTGATAAAATCTCCATCCCAATCACTTCTTTTTTTTTTTTTTTAAAGATTTCTTTATTTATGCATACAGAACTGGGATGCAAGCCAGAGGTGCAGGGGTGGTGAGAGGCTTCACCAGAGGCAAAGTGGGGAGCAAAACAGGCAGATCGAGGAAGAACACTGCTGGGGGAAGCAGTGGGAGGGTCAGGAGAGATCTGCGGCGGCCATGTGGATCACCTCCAGGGTTGGGGATCGAATTCTCACTGAAGCGGCTGTGGCTAGCTTGCAGTGCTGTGTTCTAACGCCACCAGGAAGGGCCCCCCATCACTTCTAATAAGAGAGATACAGATAAAATTATGTGATACTATCTCACACCATTAAAATAGCACATAATAAAAAGACCCCAAAAAGAATTGTTGGAGAAAAGGGCATCCTATTATTTTGTTGGTGGGCATGTGAACTGGTGAAGCCATTATGGAAAGTATCCTGCATTTACCTTAAAATGGAAATACTGTATGATCTAGCAATCAGCTCCTGGGTGTAAATCCAAACAAAAAACTTAGTATGTTACTATGTTCATAGCAGCACTATTTATAATAGTGAGGACAGGCAGCCAGCCTCGATGTCAATGGACAGATAATTAGCTCAAGAAGAGGTGTATATACGTACCATTCAGTGTTATATAGCCATAGGAAAGGTGAAATGTAGCCAAGTTGAACAAAATGGAGGAATTTGAGGTAACTATGTTCAGTAAAGTGAGTCAGGATGGTAAGAACAAATACTGGATATTAACATATCAGACAATTTGATAACAGAAAATACTTCCAAAATTAATAAATATCGTAAGGACTTTGAGGTTAATAGGTGGGGTGGGGGGACAACAAGGGGCTCAAGGAATGGTAGTCAAGGAAGAAAATAAAATTAATATATAGAGTCAAAAATGTAATATAGCTATGGGTAGGTAGGAACAAAGACCAATTCAAACTTCAGCGATACCTTGTTATCTCACACTAGGAAAGAGTACTTGTTGGGGAAAAAAAAGGAAATGTTTGTCAGAAAGATACTCATTGAAATTTTAAGAATAATTAGCTGCACATTTTGCAATATTACTTTTTTTTTTTTAAAGATTTATTTATACATACAAGAACTGTGATGTAGGCTAGACGTTTAGGAGTGAGAAGATTCACCAAAGACAAAGTATGGAGCAGAACAGGCAGTTCTACTGAAATACACTGAGGGGAGCAGTGAGCAACACAGCTAGGTCTGCTGTACCATGTGGATTAGCTCCCTAGCAAGAGACTGAATGCATGTTGCAGTGGTTGGTGATAGCTTGTTAGTGCTGTGTCTTTAATCCCTGTGCCACCAGGGAGGCCCTGCAATATTATTTTTATGTCTTAAATTTTTTGTTGTGTTTTTCTATTGAATTTTCGCAAGATAAATGTATATATCATGCAAGTCCACTGTATTTTAATACCTAATTAGGTTCATTATAAACTAGAGCAAATTTTTATTTGAACCATAAAAGTTCATATCATCCCAATTAGAGTTAATGACTGATCTACCCGTAGTATTAATTATAACAGTAGTTTAAACTCAAATTTTCTTATTTTATACCTGTAGTATAGTTTTTCCCTCCTTATTTTTGTCTTCACCCGAAAGTAATCCCAAAGTCACAACAGTACTCAGTCTTTTCATAGATTGTAATTTCTCTTCTTTCTCACCTTTTTTGTATTGTGTTTTTGTTACAGAAAAAGTTTTCTTTGAAAATGGATGGCATGTCTTCAGAGACAAATGATGAAAAGTAAGTTTATGCAATGCCACTAACACTGTTAAACTCTTTATCAGAGAAAGATATTTGCCAACTAGTGAAACGTATTGATTACTTCTGAAATCGTTTTCCATTCTGTTCTAAGAAAAATAAATGTTACAAAGGTATAGCCTTTCTTGCCATCTTTGTACACTCTCATTTAGACTCAAAACTGAGAGGAACTGTTTGAAGTTGGAACCACAAACTAGTAGCTTGTTTATAGCATATAGACATTTTTTTAAAAGATTTATTTATTTATGCATAGAGAACTGGGGTATAGGCCAGATGTGCAGGGGCAGTGAGAGAATTCACCAGAGTCAGAGTGTGAAGTAGAACAGGCAGATGTACTGAAATACACTACTGGAGGGGAGCTGCAGGCGAGCCAGAAGTCTGCCAATAAGCCATGTGGGTCACCTCCCTGGCGGGGGGATCAAACTCATGCTACAGTGGTTGCAGATAGCCTAATAGTGCTGTGTTTCAACCCATTACACCACCAGGGAGGACCCTACACTTTTTTTTTTTTAAGATTTATTTATTTATGCATTCAGAAATGCCAGAGGTGCAGGGACAGTGAGAAGATTCACCAGAGACAGAGCGGAGAGCAGAACAGGCAGATTGACAGAGTTCACAGCTGAGGGGAGCAGCAGGCAAGACAAGAAAGGCCTGCCGCACCACGTGGATCACTTTCGGGGCAGGGATCTTACTCGCAAAAGTGGCCATGGCTTTTCAGTGCAGTGCTACAACCCACTGCACCACCTGGGAGGGCCTAGACTTTTTTTTTTTT